GAGGTTCTGTAGGCTTACTAATAGGATGTAAAAAACCTGTTTTTTTTTCCCATATTGTTCCCGTTTGTAGGCACAATCAAGGCAAGCATAAACGTATTTTTTAATAAATCGGGTCATGCCACTAAACCAAAATTTACTTTTAATTAGCGATTCACATTTTCGATATCCAATGTGGCCAATGTCGTCATGATACTTTCTTAATATATTGAATCTAGCAGATTTAGGAATTACTAATTTTTCATTTTTATCTGAGGTTTTCCTGTAAAGTCTATTATTTCTAATTAGGTAAGTATTTTTCAATTGTTTATCACAGTCGTTCTGACTAAGTTTATTACAAATTGTTCTTAAAGTGTCATCTTGGAGTTGTATGCATAAATACCAGTCATCCGATCCAATTATTGTCGACACATCAGAAATTGGAATATTCCGACTGAGTGCATCCACATGTTCCATTTTTTTGCCCGGTCGGTGTTTAATTTCAAAATCATAATCTTGTATTGCGATCCACCACCGCGCGACGCGTGGCACTAGATCGCGTTTTGTAAAAGTTGAACGTACTGCCGCGCAATCTGTTATAATTAAAAAATGGATGCCGGTTAAATAGACTCGGAATTTTTTAATTGACTCTACAATAGCAAGGGTTTCTAATTCATAAGAATGATACAATTTTTCCTCCTTACTCGTCATGCGGCTATAGTACATAACTGGTTTAAGGTGGTCCCCATGTTTTTGTAATAAAATACTAGCTATGCCCTTGCTACTGGCGTCTGTATGCAACTCAGTTGGAAGATTTGGATTGTAAATGCTGAGTAATGGCCTGGATGTTAATTCTGTTTTTATTGTGTCAAATGAAAGCTGTTCCACAGAAGTCCACTTCCATGACACCGATTTTTTTTAAAGATTTGTCAATGGAGCTACAATAACTGCGTGGTTTTTAATGAACTTTCTGAAATAAGAATTTAAACCTAAAAATTGTCTTATTTCATGTAGATTTTTGGGAACTGGGAATCTTGAGACAGCTGCTATTTTGAATTTTCCTGGACGAATCCCATCTGCATCTATTTCGTATCCAAGATAGTCAATAGTCGTCTCAAAAAAGAAACATTTTTCTATATTTAATTTTAGATTTGCACTTTTAAATAATTTGAAGACAATTTTCAGTATTTCAAGTCCTTCTTCGATCGTTTTGGAGGAAATTAAAATATCGTCCAAGTATACACTAATTCTCTCATGACACAGTTCGGATAATAAGTCATTTAATAACCTTTGGAAGGTTGCTGGTGCATTTGATACGCCGAAAGGCATTCGTAGAAATTCATATTGTCCGTCCTGTGTCACAAAAGCTGTTTTATGTATTGAATTTGGGGAAACGGGTATTTGGTAGTATCCTTGAGTCATATCTAAGCTAGAAAAATATTTTTGCCCTCCAAGACGACCGATTTGATCTTCGATATGTGGGAGCGGATATCTATCTTTTATAGTAATAGAATTTAATTTCCTATAATCGATACATAACCTGTGATCACCATTTTTCTTTTTAATTAAAATAGCTGGACTCGAAAAATTTGATCGAGATTTTCTTATAATTCCGTTTTCTAACATTTCCTTAATTTTATTTCTAATGATAGTTTTCTCATTTTCGGAATATCTGTAGGGTCGGTAGAAAATTGGTTCATTTTTCTCTAACTCTATGTCAAACTCGATTAAATTAGTAGCACCCAATTCGGTGACATCTTTAGCAAAACAGTGTTGAAATGTATTTAACAAATTATAGAAGTGCTTCAAATGTGATTCTTGCAAAGCTTCTAAATTCACTTTGACATCAGTTAGATTTAATGACCATGTTTGTTTATTTTCAGTAGTTAAAGTTTTATCGATTTCCAAAAAATTTATTTGCACAGCTCTGGCTAAAATTCTACCTTTGTTCCAGTTAATTTTGCTGGGGCCTGTATTGGTGACACTGATTACCTTGTCAGAATGGTTTATTAAACAAGTTGGAATTGAATAGTGTTCATGAAAATCGTATGTTTGTGAAGAAATAAGCATACAGTCATCATGATTAATTGCACTGCTGAAAGGTACAAGAGAAGTACAATGCGGGTTAATGGTGACGTTTTTATTCAACAATATTGGAATAGTATTTTTATGTTTTGAATAATTTAATGCAACTGTTCCGCCTTGGATTTGCATAAACATATTTTCGTTATTTATTATTGGTTGGCCGATTATTACTTCAATGTCACCCATATCGGCCACTACAAAATGTAAATCAGACTTTATGGAAAAATATTTAAATTTAAAATCTACAGAGCTCATTCCTTTAGGAAAAATAATGTTATTACCAAAACCTTTAACTACAATATTCGATGGTTCCAACTTAATGTTGAGTTTATCCATTACGGTAATATTTGCAACATTAATTTGGCTCCCTGTATCTAAATACCCTTTGAAAGTATTATTATTTATAGAAACATCAATCATATAACTACTATTTGGTACTTGCCTTTGTAATAGTTGTACTTTAGCCGGGTTCAAATGCCAACAATCTTCTTTCACATGTCCCTTCCTGTTGCAGTGGGAACACTCTTTAATTCTTTTAGCGCCCCCTGACTTGAAATCTCCCGGTTTTTTGAATTCACTAAATTTTGATTGTCCAGATGGTCCTGCACTAGCATCTCTAAAAAAACAGTTACGAGCTAAATGTCCACCTTTTTTACAAACATGACATTTGGCTAAATACGTTTTCATGTTTTTCTCACTTTTTTGTAGCACAGGAGTGTTGGCTAGTTTGCACAAAAATCCCTGGAATAATTCTTCTGGGGTTTTGAAATTAGCAGATTTGGCAGTTGCCTGATGCTCGTGGGGAAGTCCATCAATTATACAGGAAGTTGCATTAACGTCCGATATATCACACTTTCTAATTAACACGCATTTTGAATAATAATAGTGTAATATTGTCTCATCAGGTTGTTTTTTTCTATCCAGCATCAACTTCAAATTGTCCACAAAATTCTCATGCGACGGAAACGCTTTTAACAATGCATTTTTCCAATCTACCCATGATTTGCTATATTCTCGAAGGCCATTGTACCACAATTTGGCTATACCGGACAATTTTGATTGCATAAAATACGATTTTGTAGCGTCGTCCCAATGGTGAATCATTCCAAGCTGCTCAATTTTGTTCAGCCAATTTTGAGAGTTGACGTCGCCAATTTCATGGTCGAAAATAGGAACAATTTCACTTTTTGCAAAATTTATACCACTTGAAGACCTTGTGGTTGATTGCTGTGTACTGCTAGCCGAAGAGGGGTCATTTATAGTCGGTTGAATTTGACTCAGAATTTCAGTCACTTTTGTTGCTATAAGCTCTTCAATTCTTCGCTTTTTTGCTTCTTTTCTGCGACCAGCTCGGTTTTCATCATCATTTGATGGTGATTCAGATCGGCTCCGCTCGCGATCTCTAGCCAAATTCCGTTCTAAGTGGCTTTTTGAATGTCTATGTTTCCGTCGCGACGACCTATGGTCCAGTTCGTTATCATCACTGTCACTCTCACTTCTCATCGCGAATAATCGAGAAAAATGGATAAATACGTAAGAGAAAAAAATATATATATGGAATTCTTTATCTCACTTCTGAATTGTAACGAATCAAAATAAAAGACGCTGCGTTTTCACTTTGATGGTTTATTTTAGAATGTCTTACAAATCAAAAATATGATGTTACAAGCCCAATAACAGTTTTGGAGGGTCGAGGCCGGTACCTACCTGCCTTGACCCTTTTCTTCATGTTCTATTGTGGGAAGCTTACAAAATATGAAAAAAGATCCCATTTTAGCAAAGTTTACATTTTGGTCAGGTAAATAGATAAGTATTATTATAATATAGGTCTGATATAATGGGCTGCGTCACAATAGGATGCGTTCGCTGGACGCTCACCTCAAAAAATCAAATCGAAATATTTTGTTGTGTTATCTTTCCCCATTGTCTTGAAAAATGTAAAAAAAAAGTTCTACGATTCTGGCAGAAAGTCACAGTTCTGTCTTATTTGAAGCAGTACAAGAGTTCAACTATCATTTGGTTCAATGCAGTGACGACTATCATGAGTAATTATGACTGATTGAATATGACGGAATTACATAAAAATGAGAATTACCTAAGTTATAACAAAATGTAAGGAAACTGCAGCTGAAAAATGCGGAAATTAATCTGACAGGAAGTAAATACCTATTTTAATACACATAAAAATAATTAGAATTACCCATGTGAAGCATTGAAGAATTTCCAGTCTCCAGAAGCCAATTATTGCTAAAATTAATCCTAAAAGCAACAAAAGTTTCATTTTAATAGTATCTAGATATTTTCTAGAATGCAGCAATATGATTCTCAAACTAAGAAAACTTTAATAATTACCTTATTTACTTAGCGATAATTTGTTGCCAATTTGTTTTATTGTAAATAATTTTTACATGGAGCAAGAGAAGTATCTAATTGCGAAATTTATAATTTAGAAATCGAGGAATGCCTTCTTTGAAATTCACATCTAGTTCCTTACTCTGTCCTTGTTGACCAACAAAGTTCAAGAAATTGTTATCCAAATGGAAGTAACTTTCACTGAATGGAAAACTATTTGTTTATGCCCAAAGGAACTTTTTTTTTTTTACACAAAATCTACTGAAATATCATTTCCCATCTACATAAAGTGCGACAAGTGAGTGAACCTGGTAAAGTATGAAGTAGCAGAGGGGAAGACGAAAACCTATATTATACGACGCGATGAGTCTCTGACGTGGTGCATTGCGAAAATTGCGTTTACCCTGACGCAACGGGCCAATCAGGAGGGTTATGCCCGCATTCCTTACACACAGGTTCACTCTCTTGTCGCACTTCACCTTTACCTAATCATTCATCTGAAAATGAAAATGTTAATTATCTTCTTTAAATGTGATGCAAGAATCATCAACCAACCAGAACATATTTATACAAATACCCAGTTGTTTTTATCCAAAAGATTTATTTATTAAACCAAATAAACAATTTCAATACAAAATATTTTCTCAAATACTACATATTTGATGTAGTTGAAACTCAAAAACTATATAAATATTCTTAGAACATAATGATAAATGCATTTAAATATCTTTCAAAGAAGTTTTTTTCATATATTCCTTCCCAGATGGTACTGATAGCACAATTACCTGAGAGAATAACTTCTTACTCTCTTCATCGGTTACATTGGGTTGAACCATGACATCATCCCCTTTCTGGAATACAAGATACATTTAAAAGTAATGATTTTTCTTCAAATTTTATTTTAGCTTACCTTCCAACCTTCGGGAGTGGCTACCCTATATTTGTCACAGAGCTGCATGGAATCCAACATTCTTAAGATCTCACTGGAAATAAGATAAAATGATCATATTCTATAACAAGTAAACTAAAAACCAAATTCGTAACAGTTCTATTTCTCAAACTTTATCTCCATGCCATGGCCTAATAATTTACCAGATTTAATATGAATCCCATACTATAAATGTTCTTATTAAAATTACATTTTTGCTTTATAAAGAATCTATTTTTTTGCACACAAAACGCCACATACAAACCCTAAAAATTTTACTTACTCAAAGTTCCTTCCTGTAGTGGCTGGATACAAAACCGACGCTCTCATTTTCTTTTCAGGATCAATAAAGAAAACAGCTCTGGCTGGAAGAGCAAGACCAAGAGAATCTTTCTCAGAGGGATCCAACATTTGTAGTCTGATTGCAAGTTCCCTATTATTGTCTTCAATTATTGGAAAGGGAAACTCCAAATTGTCGAATTTGGCAACAGCCTGGATATCTTTTTGCCATAGGAGATGCGTCTTTTTGATGTTGCATGATAGAGCGATCACTTTGCAGTTACGTTTTGCAAATTCTCCGGCTAGTTGAATAACTCTGGCCAATTCAGTGGTGCACACTGGCGTAAAATCCGCCGGGTGGGAGAATAGAATACCCCAACTGAAATTAAATAAAACATTTAATTTTAAATGCCTAAGAGCCTAAGACATAAATGACTATCTTTCTCCAAAAAATCATCCTAGTCGCATTTGTTACTAACCTCAGAGAACTGTTTTCATAGAAATTACAAACCATTCAGAGCATTTTTGATTGGTGGAATTCGCCAACAACCAGTTTTCTGACTATTTTCAACCAATGAAATGGAAATTCGGTCTGATTCGTTTGTGATTTCTGCGAGAACAGTCCTAATAGGTATCAAAATAATTATTTCATTGATATTCTCAGAATGCATTTCTGCAGAAAAAAAAGTATTGCCAGAATGGAAAATACTCGGGAAAATATTAACAAATCATCAAACTATGAATATTTAATATTTAATATTAATAATTAATTAAAGTATAATCGAGGGGGTAACATCTTCTTAAATTTTGTGACAGTATTGCGACAATCCCTACGATTTCCCTACGATTGCTGCGATTGCGACTACACTCCCGGGATTGTGAAGCGATTGTTGGATTTTGGAGGATTGCAATGTGACTGCATATGATTGCAGACGATTTTGAATGATTGCAGACGATTGTAGGCGATTGCGAGTGTGAAAGGTTTTTGGTAGCTGCTTGAATTACTGAGTTACACTGACATATATATCTAGGGAACATATTTATTTATTTTGGCAATTAGATTATTAATCCACAAATAAAAATATGAACAAATATTTATTTTGCTATTCTTTCAAGGATTTCAAAGTAAGTATATGGGTATGTACAGGGTGGGCCAATTTGGACACTTTCTTATGGAAACACCCTTTATAGTCCCCAGTACATCGACCCTAAAATTTTGTAACTCATGTACACGCCAAACTTCCTGAGCGGCTTCATAACACCAAGTCGGACAATATTTTTCATATCTCCGCCCTGGGCGATGGGACATTGCCGCGCTAGCTCTTCGTGAAGTTGTCGTTCTGACGTCCCTAAGGAAGTTGATACATGTACGTGTAGTTTCAATGCCAATCGACTGCTTTTTACATTACATTAACGATATCACATTTGTCGGACAAAAACCATGTGGCTTTGGGGAAGGTCCGACGCCATCAATATGTCGCTGTGGCGTCCCTGAGGAAGTTGATACATGTACGTGTGGTTTTGATGCCAATCGACTGTTTTCTATGTTACATTATTGATATCACATAGGTCGGACAAAAATCACGTGGCTTTGGGGGGGTCCGACGCCCCCAACATGTCGCTGTGACGTCCCTAAGGAAGTTGACACATGTATGTCCGACAAAAATAATTATGAATAACGATGTATTTTTAAAACATGTGCAGTAAATGTCGGACAAATAAAATGAGTATTAAAGTTAGTCGGACAACAAAAGTCGTTTTGATCAATTTCTGCCGAAATTCAGGATCTTCACTCCTGAGATTGCACAAAAAACACGACTGAATATCCATTCTTTCTCACACGCGTGGTTTTGAATGACCGTTTACGGAATAATTTCCGTAAATGCTCGGAGAACTATCAAAAAAACAGATTAGGGAATATGACACAGGGCCCCACAGGTATTTGACAAAGTAGGTAAATAATAAACTGACTAATATGCATGTTGCGGTAAGGCAAACTAATTTTAATTTTTTCATTGATTGTCTCAAATTTCTTGTCCGACAAATGTGATATCGTTAATGTAATGTAAAAAACTGTCGATTGGTATTAAAAACACACGTCCATGTATCAACTTCCTTAGGGACGCCACAGCGACATGTTGGGGGTGTCGGACCTTCCCTAAAGCCGCATGGTTTTTGTCCGACAAATGTGATATCGTTAATGTAATGTAAAAAACAATCGATTGGCATTGAAACTACACGTACATGTATCAACTTCCTTAGGGACGTCAGAACGACAACTTCACGAAGAGCTAGCGCAGCAATGTCCCATAGCCCAGGGTGGAGACATGAAAAATATTGTCCGACTTGGTGTTATGAAGCCGCTCAGGAAGTTGGGCGTGTACATGAGTTACAAAATTTCAAGATCGATGTACTGGGGACTATTATTTTTAGAGATAGAAAAAAATGAACCCCCCACTCTGAGGCTCAAATTTCATGAAATTTTGATTGGTGCAAACCGCATTTTGATATCTTTAACCATTTAGCCGCTAGAGGGCGATTCTCGATTTTGAGCAATATTGTGAAACGTTCATAACTTTTTTATTTATGAAAATAATTCATTTCTGTAAAGACTTTCTGGAAGCACTTTTTTAAGTGGAATTCAGTGACGTTTTCAGCTTTTTTCTATTTGGCTCTGATTCCGAGATATTGACCAAAACCCGATTTTTTTCAATAGGACATCCTATATATTAATAACTCATTGAAAAGCTCTTCTTTTGCTGATTTCAATTATATAAAATTCGATAGGTGTATCTCCAACGGTTTCCGAGAAAAAAATTATTTCGATTTTTGTCATAAGACACAATGTGTTGGAAAAGGACTTTATATCTGTAAGGAAAACGAGAAAGGTCTCTTTCTAACACATTGTTTCTTACAACAAAAACAGATTTTTTTTTTTTTCTCGAAAACTGTTAGGGATAAACCTATTGAACTTTATATCATTGAAATCAGCAAAAGCAGAGCTTTCCAATAAGCTATTAATATATAGGGTGTTCTATTGAAAAAAATCGGATTTTGGTCAATGTCTCGAAATCCGAGTCAATTAGTAAAAAACTGAGAACGTCACTGAATTCTTCTTAAAAAAGTGCTCTTAGAAAGTCTTTACGGAAATCAATTATTTTCATAAACAAAAAAGTTATGAAGGTTTCACAGTATTGCTCAAAATCGAGAATCGCCCTCTAGCGGCTAAACGGTTGAAGATATCAAAATGCGGTTTGCACCAATCAAAGTTTCATGAAATTCGAGCTTCAGAGTGGGGGGTTCATTTTTTTCTATCTCTAAAAATAAAGGATGTTTCCATAAGAAAGTGTCCAATTTGGACCACCCTGTACAGGGTCTGTTCCTTATAATCAGTGCGGCTTCTATAACTTGTGAAAATAATAAAAAAAATTAAGTAAATACAAAAGTTTTAGGGTTTTATTGATATTTCTACTTATTATCTTTTGCACACACAGAATTGCACATGTCAAAACGGGCAAATGACAAGTGCCAACTGTCATAATGACAAACACTTGCATTTTATCAAATGGAAAACCCTGTATATTTGTGGATAAAATTATAATGATAGATTGTTTTCTTCTGATTCCAGATATACCAAAAATGTTGATATTTGGTTTAGCTATTTTTACGATATTTAAGTTTAAAAATGCATGTACCATCGTCACCAAAAGTATCTGGGACAAAAATAATGCATGATAATCTCCTGGACTAATTCTGCCGTCATTAATTTCAATGCATTTAATTCATAATTTGACAGATATTTGATAATAAAATTCATATAATAGTACAAGAGCTAATGTGATGCTGTCCCAGTTACTTTTGGTGACGATGGTACAGTTGCGATAAAAAAAAGTAGTACAAAAATTATTAACCCCAAGTTGAGCTCCCGGTCTAACATACAAAATTTTGACAGTAAATAAACCGAGGGGGAAACCACCTACCTAATTTTGTACACCAAAAATTCTAAAATTCTGAAAAATGCTAATTTTCATGTTATTATTGTCCCAAAAAATTCTAAAAATTCTAAAAAATTCTAAAAAATCCCAACAAATTGAGCAGGCTCTTGAGCATGCGGAATAGATAAAAAATTCTAAATTATTTCTAAAAAACTCTAGTTTAATTCTAAAAAATACTGAATAATTCTAGAAATTGCTAAAAAATACTAAAAAATGCAAAAAAATACTGATAATTCTGAAAAATTTTATCAGTTTATACAGGGTGATCTATTATAAATATCAACCCTGCTAACTTTATCATTTGACGTTTTTGACAGAAGTGTCAACTGTCAAATACAAAATTTTTAAGAAATTATCTTTTTTTTTAACTAAGTTTTAGGCATACAGGGTGCGTCAAAAAAGTGCAGCAGTGTGAAGTTATATTTTTTTAAATGGAACACCCTGTATATTGTGCGCTTATTTGTTAGTCCCCTAGATAATATGATTTCAACGATATACGGTTTGATATGTTTATCTCTCTGTTTATCTTCAATAGTTATAGGAAAAACGCGAAAATCCCTTGCTAGTTCTCTCATGTTATTTTTTCAAAAATAATAATAATAACTGGATTTATTATAATATAATATTTCACCTTGTATATTAATGAATAAAATTTGAACAATATAGTTATTTATGATATAAGTGTTAAAAGTACATTTTTAAGGCACGCATGTGAAAGTTTGCAGAATGAGCGAAGCGAATTCTGCAATTCACATAAGTGCCTTAAAAATACTTTTAACATAAATATCATACACTATTTTTTCTACAAACGGCAATAAAAAGCAATAACCAGTAACAAATTGGATTTTTAGCATCTTTCCTACATAAAATTATTGAATTTGACATTTGTCAAAAAAGCCAAATAACCAGCACCTTGTTTTACAGGTAATGAAATGTCTTGTCAGTTTCTTGAAAGTATGTCGTGGTCAGTAATGCTTTTTGCTAAAAATGTAACAAAATACAGAAAAAAAAGAGGGCTGCATCGATCCCTTGAAAAATATAGATGAGGCGGCCAGTCGGGCTACCACAGTTGTTCAAATTTCACCATTATTATGAATATAAATAACTATAAATACAAACTTTTTTTGACGTTCGCTCTCAAAATTTGATGTTTCATTTTTAACACTAGTGCTATAAAGACTTTATGGCACTAGTGCGATAAAGTAACATTTTTAATGCTTCGGGGGAGTGTTAAAAATTGCATTTTTAACACGTTTGTAGAAAAAATTGTTTATAAGAAAATTCTCTAAAGCTTAAATGGTATAATTTTTCTTTTTTCAATATGAAACCTTGAAAGGAGTTTTCATGTTTTTCCTTATAAATATCGAAGATTGACATCAAATCGTATATCGCACAATATGCAGGGTGTTCCATTTAAAAAAATATAACTTCACACTGCTACACTTTTTTGACACACCCTGTATGTCTAAAACTGACTTGGTTAAAAATTTTCGACAATTTATTGAAACTTTTGAATTTGACACTTTTGTCAAAAATGTCAAATAAAAAAGTTAGAAGGGGGTGACATTTATAATAGATCACCCTGTACACCAAAATTCTAAGAAGGTTTCCCGCTCGGGGGAACCCACCTACCTATTTTTTTACACCAAAAATAATAATTCTAAAAAATTCTATCAGTTTGTACACCAAAATTCTAAGGTGGTTTCCCCCTCGAAATAAACATTTCAAAATATGAAGGTTCAAGGAATGACATTTTCTAGGGTAAAAACAGGTGGAAAAATGCTAAAGTAATGTCATCTGAAGCTTTCGAGGTTAAATACTTGTCATAAATGCCAAAAATATGTAATTTTTGGTTATAAATTAAATTAATGTATAATAGACCAGAAGATCTTGGAAACTTTTCTTTTACTACTTTTTTTTTATCACAACTGTACGTTAACCTAAATTAGGTCTGTTCCCGGTTGCATATTCATTTTTTGTTCCCAGTTCAACAAATTGAACAGCCCGACAGTAATGCGAACAGGGCGCTATCGATCATAAGAATTCCTTAAAGCACTATGTAAAATAGGTTTCTGTAGCGTCGATGCAAAACCAGTAAATAGTAATTTTTCTAATATAGTAGATGACGCTGCTGGCTTGGCTCAATTTTGTTGATAAAAAAATTCACACTGAGATTCCATTCTCGACAGTTTATATAGTATTTATCTCTGGTTTTGACATGGGCAATATAATAGAGATAAAACCCTATAACTTTTGTATTTAACTTTTTTTTTTATTCAAGTTGTAGAAGCCGCACTAATTATAAGGAACAGACCCTGTACTTGTAACAAACATAAAAATGAAGTTGGATGGATACAAACATTTTTGCGATCTTGAACCTATTCCCGATATTCACCTCGTCTTGCTTTCTAAGATGAAAAAGACCATCTCCCTGCAAAGCAATGGGACCATGAAATATATATTTTTTGCAACTATTTGCATATCTTCTCTTCATCTTGCCAAATGTAATCATCAAGACCTCTTCTGAGGAACTTCATTTTATACTTTATATCAACATCTAACGTCTCTATGATCCGGCTATTATGTCATGTATTATGTATCATATGCAGCAGCATAGTATTCTTCATTTTTCAGAGACACTTCTTCACAAAATGTATTTTCCTCTGCTTTCATTTCCCAATTCATTTTTTTTTTTTTCTGAATACCTTCCACTTTCAGAAGTTTTGGCATCTTCCATGTTTGGAGCCCTTTTTTATTGCAGTTTTTTATTTTTGCTCTTTTGATAGGCTCTATTCCTACTTGGTGCTGTTCTGTTACTTTATTTATTTTTTTTGCCAACTTTGCATATCTTTTGCATCTGAGATTTCTATCTGTTGATGATAACTTTCTGTTTTTATTAGAAAATAGCCAGCACAGTGTTTATTTTTTCAGCAACAAATTTTTGTCCTAAACTTTTATTTTTAGAAGGCTAGGGTTTAATATTTTTGAATTATTGTGATCAATGTAATCCTCAATATCTAGTGAATCATAGTTTGAAACTGAATTCAATTATTCCTACACATCATTATTTAGCTCTTCAATGGTATTTTCACTGAATAATTTATTTTGGCTTGATAAATCATCTTTTGGTTCAGGACATTTGTACTCAAAATATTCTTCAGGGTATCCCAAAGTGTGACCTCCATATGAATAAAATGGATTTGAATAAAGAAATCCCGCTAAATCGAAATTCTAAACTTACAAATGCAGTCAATTAATATTTTCTATGAAGTAATTTAGGTGCAGGCTTTTACTTTCAACGCCGATTCCCTCGTATCCAGTAGCTGGCGCCAGTCCTCGCTCCAGTCTCACTGCATGTCGTTTCAGTTCTGACATCGTGTGAATACTTACCGCAGTGAAAACTCACGATTAACTGAACTCATGTAGACGACCTGGGTCCAGCGCTTTGCCAGCCCAGAATTGGCATGCCAGGCAGTGCCAGGCAGCCAGTGAGACTGGCGTCAGCTACTGGATACGTGAAAATCGGCCTTTATGGTAATAATCGCACCACAGTTTGATAACACAGAAAATAACAGTTTAATCGCTAATGAAGCAAGAAATTTGTCTGTCAGTCTTTCTCTTTGCCGACTGCGCTGACTCTCACTATTTACAAACAAGTAAACGCGCGGCTACGCATGCGCGGCACACGATTGTATCTTAAAACAGGTGGAAGCGTACGCGATTGCCAATGTGATTGTCAGATTGCGATAGCGATTGCGGGGCTGCGAATGCGATTGCAGGATTGTTTTAAAGCGATTGTGAGATTGCAAACGCGATTGCGGGACTGCGACTGAGACTGCCACGGCAATTTAAGTGATTGCAAGCGATTGTTAAGAATTTGTGACAGTATTGCCTCAAGATGTTACCCCCTTGAGTATAATATTCAATATTATACTGCAGCTGCAACACTACATTACAAAATTAAAATACTTTGGTGTGGTGAATGATACACTTGAATTTTTAAAATGCTATTTTAAGGATAGATGTCAGAGAGTTTACTTTGATGATCAGTATTTTAATTATTGGATATTGAGCAAGGGAGTTGCACAGGGTAGTATAGTTAGGCCACTTATGTTTTCTCTCTACACTGCTGATCTTAGCACAATACTGGAACTTTGTTCCTCCAATCAGTACGAGGATGACACGCAAATATATCTGTCTTTTAAATATTCGGAATATTATTATATCCCGAGTTATATCCCAAACCAAAATGGAGTATTTGGAACATCTAGCAGAAATCTCTTATGTTTTATGTCAATAAGGGCTACCAAGACTTGTTATTGAAGCCGCTAGCATTAATTACCTACTTGGCTATCAAGCAAAACACCTTTCCTAATGTTCTAAAAATAGGAGTCATTGCCTCCACTCCACTTACAAAAGTGGCAGCAAAGCTGACATAAAAAAAAATCGCCCAATTTCAATTATCAATTGCATTGTGGCTTAATGCCTGGAAGTTCTACAGTCACTAACCTCTGTGTATTTGCAGAGCATGCCTCTGAAGCACTTTATAAAAAGAAACAACTGGATGTAATGGACACTGACTGCGCTAAGGCATTTGACAAAGTGGATCATTATGTACTGCTTAGTAAGCTGATGGACTTATTCTCCAAAAGCAAAATTGAATTACCTAATAATATCTTACTTGCTCAAGAGGCCTCAGGTAGTTAAAGAAGGATGAGCAAAATCCGAGTAATTTGAGGCCACCTTGAGTTCCCCCAAGGGAGTAACTTGGAGCCACTGCTTTTTGTGATATTTGTAAATAACTTGCCAGACAGTGTAGGAGGATCCATTGGTCCATTGGCTTGCTATATGCGGACGATTTTAAATTGTTCAGAACGATAGAATCACCAGAGAGATGGCAAAGGAGGACATCAGAAAACACAATGAGCAAATTGCGCAAAAATTACTAGAACAACACAAAGGGACGAAAGTGTTCGGAAGACTAATGACGAACACAAAGAAAGAAGTTGTCAGAATCAAAGTCAAAACAGGACAAAGAATCGAGGAAAGACGTGAAATTATAAGGACAATACAAGAATTTTATGCAGACCTCTATACGAGACGAAAGTAACTAGCGACATATCCGAACAAGACCAGGAAGTGAAAGTCCTGAACGTCATTACAAAAGACTAGCATGACATCATATGAAAAACGGGAAAGCAGCAGGCGAAGACGGCATACTAACGGAAATGTTGAAGCAAAGCAGGGATATACTAGAGGACCAACTAGACTAGAAATGCTGTTCAACAAATGCCTGGAAAAGAAGGATATATCACAGGACTGGACAAACGCCCTCGTGACAATCATTCACAATAAGGGAGACACTGAGAACCTAGATAATTACAGACCGATCAGCCTGCTACTCCAAATATATAAATTATTCTCGAAAATAATAACCAACCGTCTCACACTAAAGTTAGACTACTACCTACCAGCCAAAAAAGCAGGCTTGGTAAACCAAGGAAGTTTTTCTATTCCTAGAAATTTCTATTTCTATTTCATCGGTACTACAGAACACCTGCAAACGATGAGAGAGAGGGCTAGCTGTAGACTTTTATTCATGAAAAATAGGAACGACTGTCTATGCTGTCAACACGATTCAAGGGAGTATTGGGAAATGGAAATTATTTCTTTATGTTGATGAATGTGAAACTGATGTATACTCAGATGTATATCTATGCAGAATCTGCAAGTAAGAAATTTATACCGGTTCCAAGTTGCAACCCAACCACTTAATAAAATGGGCCAGTATTATAAAACACAAAGATTGTGTTCGGTTGAAACTCGACCATCGGTTCAGTGTTTTATAATACCGGCCTGTCAAGCAAGGAGCACTTCGTCTTTGTAAGTATATTAAATTAAGGAGAACACCCTATCCTATATTATATAAATTAGAAAAGCAAGCAAACTTACGAATCTCCGAAAAATTGATGTAAGGAAAAGTCTCCAATGGTTGTACTAACAGGACAATTGGGGAAAATACTACCCAAAATAATATTTCCTTCCTGTTCGCCGGGTGCAGCCATGATATAATTCGAAGATGTTAAAAAATATGGAATTCAAAACACTAGTTTTTAGCTTCACACTTTTTTTTTATATAGGAGGGTTAAAGGTTAAATTCGTTAAAGAACAAATAAAAACAAAACCGTAAAGTAGTCATTCCTTGAATGTTGAATGCATTGAGGTTGAATGCGAAGATTTGATTATGTCAAAGTCAAAAGTCCAAAACAGATGATTGGTGGGGGGTGCGGTGCGTTCGATATGCTTCGTACAGACTTGAACATTACGCCGAACAACAAACAGAACTTTGCGACGAACCGGTTTGGAAGCGCCTTCATAGCCCCGTCCAATTTTTGTTCAGATCGTCGTTCGATTCGTTGTTCTGTTTGTTGTTTGGCGTAATGGTCTGTACTACAGTGGTCTGTACTACAGTGACTTTATAGTTGTATTCTTTCCGAGAGTTCGGAACACTTGAGTTACTCGCTCCGGTGTCAGTCGACCTCGATGATTTGAATTAAGCCCAGTATTCATAGATGAGTGCTTGGCTCAAGCTCTGATTTTTGACAGTTGTGAGCATCGTTCCGTGTTGTTTGGAATAGCAAATATGGCGTCAAGTCGTAGGCTACATCCTCAATCAATTTGGTAGCGAAGTGGCAATTCGGTACGCGTGCTGGAAAATTGATACCCATCCTCAATGCTGTCAATTTATGTAATGATAGGTAATTTGTTTTGCGTTCGGTATTTTGATCAAAAAGCAGAGCGTGCAGAGCGGAGCCGTCACCACGTGACTAGCGAGCGTACAAAGTAGCTCAGAGGGCTCAAAATTTCAATAAACGAACCTGAATGAGCCTGCACCGAGTACACTTTTTGAATAAACGAACGGTAAATTAATGCTCCGAGAACTCAGATCCAAATACCGAACGTACGGGTAATGTACTGCGCCTGACAGAAGTTGTCACGCATCGGAAAAGCTTGCAGCTTGCAAGCTTGCACTTCAGAGTCAGCGTGCATGCTAGCACGAAATTGAATTGAGGATGCCAACGTTAAACAACACCTAGCATGCGTGCCGAAGTACCACATCGCTACCAGATTGATTGAGGATGGGCCTGTACTAGAGCCAAGACGCAACCGTGAGCATCGACTATGAATACGGGCCGGAACTGATGCGCTGGCTTTCATGCATTTAAGGCTGAGTTCGGCTTCTCACTCCAAGGAGCGAACCGGTATGAGCATGGATATCGTGACGTCATCATACGCGGTAATAAGCCCGCAAAAGAGAACACTCTAAGAGTTAAAACGATCAGGATCTTATCGTTTCGAGCTTACAGAGTGTAAGCGGAACCCAGCCTCTATGGTGAGTTCGGGCTTGAGCACTTGGTACAATAAATACATTGCGAAAAAAATAGGCGCGTAACGCCCCGGAGCTCCTACTAGGTGTAACGTTGTTATATATTCCTATGGAAAACCTTGCCATTTTGGGGCTTCCCTCAATCCTCATTGCGGCGGGATCCTCTGGCCTCTATTGACGCCACTGTATGTAAAGGTTTCGAGCTCCGTTAAGCTGCCCCCCCCCCCCTTCACCGAATTGATTTTCGTTGCCAAAATGCTGGCACAGGTAAAACGTAGCTAGCACAACCTAGTACACCAATTTTTAACCCTAGCGCACCCATAGTATAGCAAAAAATTGAGTTCAAATTTGGGGGAGGGCCGGGTTAACGCTAGCCAGCCCCCCCCCCCCCCCCCCCCCGACCGATTGGATTTACTCAGCCAAAATGCTAGCACAAGTGAAAGTAGGGTTTCCATAAAGGTTTTTCGGAATTCAGGACAAAGAAGTCGAGAAATCCGGACAAAATCCGGACTTTGCCGAAATAGCTGAGTGTGTAAAGTGAAAGGCGATTGCGACAAAATTCACATTTGTGAAAAAAGGTTCACTTTACACACGTATTGCATAAGCATAATATTCAAAAACTTTCTACTACCAATACAATATGTATAAAAAAATAAATTTAGACAAATACTTTACGCACTAGTGCCTAAAGTAAAGTAATTTACTAGAAGAAAATTACAGTGACGACATCTGTCATTGACATTATTTCAGGCACTAGTAGGCAATTTTTCGCGAGGATAATCAAGCATAATCTAAGGCTGGGTTCCGTTTCCAACCTTGGTTATGGTTACACGTTCCGTAATGTCTGGTTCCCGAAAAACCGGTCTATACGGAACGCGGTTGGCTATATGTTTTCAGCAACCACCAGTGATGAGCCTGTAGACAATGTCAACGTAAACAATTGATTGTCTACGTGTAGACAATTCGAATTGTTTACGTGGGCATTTGTCTACACATTGTCTACATGTGACGTAAACAATAAACTTATTTTAGAAATTTTAAAAAAAGTTTCAAAATTACTATACTACCTAAGTAGCTATTATACCTATCACTCTGATATCAGCATTCACTGATTATAAATATGAGGAAAACCGATAATAAAATAAAAATAATTTTTGACAAGGAAAGTGTGAGGTTAGAATTAAACGTCAATTATATTATTTTACATTGTTGACACGTTGTCTACATTGTCTACATAGTCTACATTGTCTACACGTAAAGTAGACAATGAAAGTCTACGTGTAGACGCACATCTCTGGCAACCACTGTCAACCGCTGTCACCGCTGTCAACCGACGTCGTACCGACCGGTTAACCAGGTTAGGCAACGGAACCCACCCTAATTACAAGGATGATACACACTACTAAGGATGGCTTATCCTCATAAGGCCTGTGTGTAACAAATCCCCCCCTACCCCGCCTAGCCAAAAAATCAGTTGTGACGTAAACATCATGGCGTTTTTCGTCTTGACGTAGGCTGTTTGCACCACAGGTTATGTTATGATCTGGCTGCTGGCTGGAAATTATGGAACTAGTTTCTAGTATAATTAAAGTCTAAAATTATAAAATTATATCAGATACATATAATCATGACTTTTAATCATTACTGTTGTGTTCCTCAATGCAAGTCTTGGGCTAAAAAAAAAAGCTGACAAAGGATTGAGTTTCTACATATTTCCCCTTGAAACAGGCCCACGGGTTTATTTGGAAACGAAAATGGAAAAAGAAGTGTCGAGAAGAAAAGCCTTCTGGATTTTAAAACTTCGTATTGGCAAACCAGTCACCAAATTCATGAAAGTGTATTCTCTGCATCTCAATTAAGCAAGAATTTTGTGTTAAGGTAAACAAGCATAATGGATAGTTTTGTGCCCTAGCTTCATTTTAGGCCTGCTTCTAGGCATTTATCAAGTACTATCTATTTTTAAAATGTTTTGTTTGAAAATATTGACTGTTTTTATTATTTACAGGTGAGAGTACAGGTCTTAGGGCGGGTATTATAAAACTGCTTTGACAGTTAACTTAAAGTTAACTTTTTGAATTACATGTAATTCCAGAAGTTAACTTTAAGTTAACTCTTAAAGTAGTTTTATAATACCCACCCTTAGAGGTACAGGTAGAGGTCGGATATTGAAAAAAACAGTTGTACCATCCCAGAATTTGCCCTCTTCTATAGTGATCCATAAACCGAGCCAAAAAATAGATTCCATGGGTGCTGAAAAACTTGCCGAAAGAAAAAGAAATCAAGATTCTAGTGAGACCGATACAAGTAATGAATGTTGTTATACTTTTAATCAATTATTAAACTCTTCTCAGATAGGCATACAAATGGCCGAGCAAACAGCAGAACGTGTAAAGTGTTTATTAAATCCTAATTACCAGTATTATATTATAGGTAGTTCGAGTAAAAATCAGATTTGTGGTCAAGTTATTTGACTTTGTTAATTTAATTTTCACCTATTTATAAATAAAAATAAAGAGTTATTTATAAAATGTTTATTTATTTATTACACATACAAGTTATTCAAATACAGACATTATAAGGGAGATCCATACCAGCCTTGAGACCCTTTTGGCAATGTCCTATTGTAGAAAGTTTACAAAAATATAAGAAAAAGATCCGGTTAGGCTGTTGTATACTGTACAGATATAATGATTTCGGGTCAGATAAACGAAATAGATTATAATGAATTTTGGCCTGCATCATCACGAGCAGCATTATGGGTGAAAATTATTACCCAGTGTGAAACTTTCGAGAACAGTGAATAAATAAGTCGATATTGCATTTGCAGCACATTGTTCTTCCTCGGCTGCTACAGTTTTGACCACCACATCGTTTTTTTTACGTTCAGGAAAAGTGTTTCAATAATGATGCAGTCCATAATACCTTATATCATTATTGACTCAAAAATCACTTGCTGCAGCCCGAAGCATATTCTCCTGTAGCGCAAGGTGGTACTTTATATTTCCTCGGGTATGTCTGAAAATAAAAATAAGGTTAAAATTGTATGATTTCCCAAAAAATTGTTAATTCTACTCTACCTGTGATATATTTCCCATTCGAATAAACAATTTCTGCACTAGCACAAAAGTTGCCTAGTAGATAAGTCAAAACCACGTTCCTCATCTGCTGAATCTTAGTCAGTGAGCTCTTTGCTTTCTGTGTGGGCTCGATATATTATGCCATCAACATTTTCATTATCATAAGCAGTATTCAAAGCTTCCTGATGGCTAATTCCACAAACAAAATGTAAGTACAGCTAAAAATGTTACCTTCTGCCCAGGCCCATATGCCATATGGGACAGTAATATTTACAAGAATATAATACATAAACAAACAATTTATGCTCGAATAGGAATATGTTAAAATAATATGAGAAAACCCTAAAAACAATTAAATAGTATAGAATAAATTATCTTATAGTTATTATACTTACATAGAGAAATGTAAACAAAACGCCGCGTAATTCTCCTAGGGCTCCATTAAATCATACATGCTGAAAACGTGTAAATAGGCGGAATGACGAAAGCTAGCCAGATATCGCGCTACTGGTTCCATCATAGCATAGGGTACCTTTACCCGCTATAATGGTTAATCAAAATCAAAATAAAATATTTTTCATGACAAATTATAAATTTATAAAACCGCTGGCGCAAACAGCTGGCGACTTTGTTATGACGTCAGCAGTGGTTGGAAACAGTTGAAAACCAATATGGCGGCAATTACCCAAAAAGGGGCCGATAAGCACTCCTTAGTAAGTTTATTCTACTTGCCCTAATTATGCCATGCTGGGTTATGTGATGTGTCAACTGTGTCATACTCCCCTAACTTCCT